AAAAAAAAAAAGGAAACGAACGGTTCAACTGGAAAAGCAGTCTGAAATTACACATAACTTAACAAGTTCTTTCCTTCTTATGCTCTCAAATCGGTAACCACTAACGTCAACAACAACAACAACAACAATAAGAAGTTTAGTGAAACTACAGCAAAACTTCCTGAACTGATTGATTATTTGTTAAAAGCCTACAACGCTATTTAATTAATTAATTTTTGAACACTCTGACGAGTACATACTTACCCAATAAGCCTTATCGAATGATATCCTTTTGGCGCGTAATCATACATGGTATCTGAATCCAAATGCTGATATACACCACTTCTAAAAATAGTACAATTTTTTGAAATTTAGATGTCTCTTTTTTGAACCACAATATCTCACAAACATCTCCAGTGTGTTTTCTGAAGAAAAATTTAAGTTATTTTTTTTTTTGCATAGTTTTCGAATAAATTTATAACAGGATTATTAGTATTGCTGTTGTTCAGATGCATCAGAAATAGTCAGTGCTAATAAACAAGCCTATTTTGCCAAATCAAACTTTTGAAATGCTTAAAATGCACAAAAAACAACAGTTTTAAAAGTTGTAAATATAACAACTGACTTGTACATAAAAAAGTCGCCATAAACCAAGAAAGTTGCTTGAACCGGACCATTTGTTATGATTTCTGTCATAATGTCTTCTTCCTTATTCGAGATCCTAGAAACAGATTAAAATTTATTTTAATAAAAAAATTCAGTTGTTAACAATTTTAGACAAGGTATATCACACAATTTTAACAAAAAAAAAAAAAAAAAGTCGACGAAGAAGAAAAAACTTACCTGTAAGCTGGTGTCATCTTGTAGATGTTATTATCCATGCCACCAGATGGACATTCCAAACCATCGTCACTAAAGAATGCAGTTCTTGGAATTTGGCATTTGCCAAGTTTTCCGGTATGACCACTATTGTATTCATAACACTGTTCGCTTACAACACTATAATAATAGTTTTACTTTAGCTTTTATTTTAATTTTTTTTGGCTACTCTAAATCATAGTCGTCTTTAATTGTTGCCAATATAATCGGTATTTCAGTTAGTTAGAAGAAGAGGTAAAAAAACATGTTGAAAAAAAAATGTTAATGCATATTTTTGCAGTCAAAAAAATTGGACTGTTTAACCGATAAATTTTTCATTAAAAAAAATGAGACGTGAACTTCAGATATATGAAAAAAATTAGAAAACTCTTTACTACAGTTTGATTCGTTTCAAAAACAAAATTGTGGTAAAGATATTAAAAGATTCAAAAATCTTTGAGCTTTAGTTTCGTTAATCAAAAAATAAAAAAAAATTTATTGTTTAGTTTATAGCTTTTCTTTTTTTGTGATTAATTGCTTTGTATTTGTTGGTGCAAAAAAAAAAAAAAAAAAAAAA